ATCATGTTTGATCAGCTCCCAGAAATGCTTATAGAACACTGAGCTCATCCCTTCCTCTCCTGGAGCCTTATCAGAAGGCATTTGGAATAAAGCTGACTTGACTTCATCCTCTGTGACTGGTTTCAAGAGGGCTTCATTCATTTCTGAGGTGATGGATTGGGGAATTAATTGTAGAACAGAGTCACCTCCCAGGCTGCCCTCAGAAGAGAATAAGTTGGAATAAAAGTCAGCAATATGAGTCTCTATATCTTTTTGAGAGGTCAGGATCCTCCCATTTGAAGAAATCAGTCTGGTGATTGCATTTTGTTTTCTCCTTTGAAGAGTGAAAGCATGAAAAAATCTGGTATTGGCATCCCCTTCTTTAAGCCATTTCTGTCTGGATTTCTGTTGCCAATACAGCTCTTCCTGAAGATGTGCTTTGTTCAATGAATTTTTTGTGCTCATCCAGCTGTTCCAGTTGCTTCCAGATTTGTCTTCATTCAGAGTTTCCATTTGAAGAGTAAGTTCTGCTATAAGGGCCTGATTTTGAGATTGGAATGAGGAACTCCATTTTAGAAGGGCAATTCTAGTGAGTTTGATTTTTTCTTTGAGCCTGAAGAAAGGAGTTCCTGTGACCAGAGTATTCCAAGCTAATTGGACAGTCTCATCAAATCCATCCTTACCAATCCATCTTTTATCAAAATTGAATCTGGCTTGTTTTTTATCTGAGGGCAAACCTAAGTTCAGGACAAGTGCAGAGTGATCTGAGGAACATCTCATCACATTAATCACTGAAGCATTAGGATAAGTCTGGTGCCAATCCAGAGTGCCAAATCCTCTATCCAGCTGTTCTTCTATCATTTCATCAGAGGCTCTCTGATTACACCATGTAAATGGATAACCACTCAGTCTAATTTCCTCCATATCCATGCTGTCAATAAAGGAACTAAAAGGCTGAAGACTGGCTGGACTTCTTGGATTTCCACCTTGCTTTTCTGAAGTCTTGCAGATATCATTCCAGTCCCCCATTGCAAACCAACAATCTCCCCAAGCTTGTCTTTCAAGAATTAATTCATCCCACTGAGTTTCTCTGGTAGTCCTACAAGGACTTAGATATACAAAAACACCCCACTGGGGGCTACAAGAAGGTAAAGAAAAATGGACAGCAATAAAGAAATCTTTACAAATGATTTGCTGAATGGAAACATCAGAATCCCAAAATAAAGATAAACCACCCCTTAAACCAGTGGGGCTCACAATACAAATTCTATTTGCATAACCTAGCTTAGTACCAATAGATTTAACAAAGGAATTTGGTTTTTTTGTTTCAGAGAGAAAGAGAAAATGTGGGTGGTGAGCCTTTTTTTAACTCTCGCAATTGGGAAATTGTAGAGGGCCCACCCAGCCCTCTACCATTCCACACCACAGCTAACATTTATCCTGTGGGTGCCATTCAAGGCTGGCAACCCCCACCTTTTCTTTGTGGTCTTGCTGTTTCTGCTTCTTCGGTGCTGTTTGACTTAGGATGATCTGTTGATGAGAGTTTGATTGATCTTCTTCTGAAGTCCTAAGCCTTTTTTTCAGAGGATCTTGTTCAGTGACAATGGAAATAGCAGACTCTCTCAGCAGTCTGCCTGCTTTGCTCCTATCCCTTCTCCAAGTCTTCAGAGGATGAGAAGAGTTGGTAACTACTGTATCACTAATTGAAAGAACTGCTTCTGGAGTATAGGGAAGAGGGTCCAACTCCATTATTTTGCTTGATTCCACTATTTGCAGATTGGATTCAACTGATGTGCCTTTGGCCTCAAGAGTATGAGAGGCTGAGGCTACTGAGTCCTGATCTTTCTCTATGTTCCTGGTTGGTGTTGTTTGTGGTACAGGGATTATCTGTTGACTGGTTTCAACTTGCTGAGATGATGTGTTTGGAGGAGATCTGTTCTCATTCCTTGTGGGGGAATCGGTGAATGGAGAACCTCTGGAACTTGAATTTGCATTGTCAAACCATTTCTGGTTCTCTGCTGCTTTCATAAAATCTCCATATTGACCTTCTTTAAGAGAGTTGCTATTGATGTCTGAAATCCTCTTTGAACAACTTCTATCCAAATGCCCAATCATACCACAATAGTGACACAGATTTTGAAGCTTTTCATATTTGAATCCTACCTGAGCTGTTTGGTCTCCCAGTCTGATGTTTGCAACTCTAGGCAAAGGCTCATTCAGGTTAACTGTGACCATCAATCTAAGATATTTGCCACCGTGATTCCCAGCATTAGCTAGAACAACGTTCTTAACATTCTTGAAAACTTTTCCTATTTTTAGTCCCACCTCAGTGCTCAACCAGATGATGGGTGTGTTTGTAACTTGAACCCAAATATTGAGATCTTGGAAACAGGGATGCTTACTTGATATACCATGTTGCCATTCCTTAAGAACGAGATACTGGTTTTCGAAGCTCCAGTTGATGCCATTGGCTACTTTCTGTTTATCTTCTCTACTTTGGAATATGAACTGGAAATAATTCGGACTCAATTCCTTGATTTCCATTGATTGATTGAGTCGCCAAATGGTAGTCATAGTACGCTTAACTCCAATCCAGTTCGCAGCCCTATCGCCAATTATTTTCCCAAAGAGGCTTCTACTGCATTCCTCCGCACTCATTTTGATATCTGTTTGAGCAATATCAATGAAGTTCGCTTCCTTTTCTGATAGGGAAAAATCCCTCAATTGATCTGAAAGATCTTCTTCCTGGGTGTCTGACATAACTACGCAACCCTAGCTGCTCTAAACACAGACAAGAAACAGATGGAAAGAAAATTTAAAGAGGAGGGAACGATTGAGAAGAGGACGATCAATGAGCAACTGAGAATTGGATCAATGATCAACCGAAAAAGGAAACAAATCGAAGAATCACTACGCTCCCACCTGAGAGAATACCCTAACGCTCCCACCTGAGAGAACTTTTTCACTTTCCTGAAATTTTATAAGAAGAATAATAAATAAACCATCCCTACACACATATATATAGATAATTATTACAAATATTAACTAATAATGATGTAGTGTGTAATATATATACATAAATATGTAAATTTTATTAATCATTTTGATTTATATATACATAAATATATAAATTTTAGAGGGGAATTAAATTTATTACTTTGATTTAAATTTTTTAATTAATCTTATTAATCAATAATTAATATATATACGTAAATATGTAAAATTTAGCAAGCATAATGCATTAAAATGTAATTTGTAAATATTATTTAATAAACTAATTAAATTAGAAAAGAATATGCTTGGAATATTCTTTTAGAGGGAAATTATAGAGAGAATGGATTGGAGTTGCTGACACTGCTGAAACTGTATAACTAGTGGGATTTTACTGTAGAAACTATATGTAAAGAGGGCATGGTTGGAGATGCTCTAATTTTGTAAATTATGCACAGTGCAAATCAGTGTCCAAGTGGAAGATTTAAAATGTTTACGGTTTTTTCATTTCATATTCTCGTG